TTGTTTGTGCCTTGGTTGAGCTTGGCCAGGTTAATTTGTTGTTTGACATTAACTCCTCTCTGTTCCAAAAGGCAAAGTGGAAGGTACATTTCAATTTATCTCAACAGACATTGCTATTCGTTGATTTATGGTAATATGATGTTCAAATCTTTTAAGCCACCGATAGGGATGTTAAATTGTGGAACTTAATTATTGATGATCCTAATTTAAGGAATTGAGTCCTTGTAAAATTTGGTTTTGCACTAATTTATCGTATATTATCAAAAAGAGAGAAAGAAAGATTAGAGAAAATAGGTGTACGATATTCTCTTATAAACCTTCTTTTTTCTTTTTTTTTTTTGCATTACAGTAAATTACTGCAGTGGCCGAAGATCGGACGCGGTCTTACATTGAAACGAACTTCTATAAATCTTGCATGTTCTTAAGTGTTTATTTTTCTTTCTTAAAATTAATTTCTCTAGGTGGAATAGAATTAGGGTTTATAAATCTCAAAAAGGGTCACAGTACGTCAAAGGGACATAAAAAATTTAATTTTCTTTCAGTAACATACTACAATGAATCGAACTAATTCTTTCAATGAAATAAATTTCTCATCTGTAAATAGCACAAAGGAGTTGCTTTCTATTAGTATTTATTACATCTATAGTGTAAGTGCAAGTTTGGTATACAGAACTAGATAAAATTGGACGGATGGTATAATAAACAAGATTTAACTAACCATACCCCGGTTTTTTCTATGATAGGTTTGTTTTAGTGATGAATTCTTGAAATCCATGTCTAACATTCAAGACATCGACATCTGTAAAGAGGTCCTTTCTCTTTTGGAGAAGCTTTCAGATGGATGGCGTCAGCTGTACAAACCTGAAATTCTCAGTAACATGGATAGTGCTGCTTCACAACTGTTGGAACTATATGATGTCAAAGGGCCATTGAAATTGATTTGGACCATTGACATTCTCCGGGAAAATTCAAGCAACGTTCAAGTTATCAAAGTTTTGGACATTTTGCCAAGTTATGAGATATTAAAATTGGCCAAGAAACTTGATTCAGTATTGGGGAAGTATACAGCTGATCATTCGAGCCAATGCTTGTTCAAGCGCGTTGAACAGTATGTGACTTCTAGTTCTGCTTTTTACATTAATTTTGAGTTGGTTTATTACATTTATTTGGGTTGGTGTATAATGTGTTAGAAGAGAGAACGGTAGAGCGAAACTAACATGACCTGCTCTAGATGACACGAGGTCATGTCAAAAATTTATAGGCTGTTCGGAATTTTTCCCTTTTTCTGTTGCATGTCATTTTGTTGGAAAAAAGAAACGAGAGTGTGAATTTCTATTAATTAGCCACTTATCACATTGTCTGCTGTAGGGACTTGGTACTTCCAATGACTTGGCCAGTGAATACAGATGCTGGAAATGTTCCCTCTGGCAGTGATCCTGTACAAGAGCTAGCAAGCCAAGTGGCGGCAGTCAATATACGGGATGAACCGGGAGTATGAACCGTGCTGGATGAACTATTGATGCTAAAATTATTCTGGTATGAGCTGAATCAAATCTCTTTTGAGAAAACGATCATTTGTGCCATAGTAGCCGGTTCAAT